CTTCAACTATTTCCCTTCGTTCGACGGTGCAACACAAGCAGCTAACCAGGAAGGTCTTTCAGGGCGTGACGAGCTTTTTGAAAACGGTCTTTTGCATGATATAGGGGCAGATGCGGGGACCACAGAACCATGTTTAATTTTTCCTGAACGGCCCTCTGAATACCAGAAAAGGGGGTCCCTAGTTCGATTCCTCTTGGTGACAAATTTTTGCATTTCGAGTTGACGTTCCAAAATTCGCGCAAAATGGAGTTCTGATTGTTCTGGTTGGTTCTAACTCCATTTTGCGCGAATTTTGGCACGTCAACTCGAAATGCAAAAATTTGTTACCACGAGGAATCGAACTAGGGACCTCCTTTTCTGGTATTCAGAGGGCCGTTCAGGAAAAATTGAACATGGTTCTGTGGTTCCCGCATCTGCCCCTATATCATGCAAAAGACCGTTTTCAAAAAGCTTGTCACGCCCTGAAAGACCTTCCTGGTCAGAAGGAAAGCATGAAGAAGGAAATTGAAAAAAATACATTATACGAAGTTACAACGGCACAAACACAATAAAGTGCCGTTCCTTGCGAGTAACTCGGCTAATTTCCCCTGAGGAAAGAAGACCTGAGCAATCATCGCCAGCCCTCGGCATTAGTCGATCCTGTTTTCCTCTCAGTTGGCGACGTGGACTCGTGTTAATCAGCAATTATTAGAGCGGTGATACACAGTCCACCTTTGTTGCATGGCCTGTGGCAACTCCGATAGTTTCAAGCTAAGTCCAAAAAGTTACGAGCGGATGGAGCTTCCTTCGTGAAGGTGAACTGTTGTCCTCCCTGATAGTTAAGTAATGGTTCCGCACGGTTTCTCAGTGTTATCTGTTCTCCTTCATCGGTTCTGTGGGTCCGAACTTTTGACTATGGCTACACAAGTCAGAATAGGATACGAACTAATCCTTACGAAGTGACGTTTATATATTGATTTTCAAGGATGCGAGTTGTGGCCAAAACATTTACCTAGGCAGGGATCGACCCTAAGCTCGCCTCAACAAAGCCAATGATTAGCTCGCAACCAGCGTGCTTGTTAGGTTCCGTAAGGCGAACTCTGGCGAAAAAGCGGAAAGTTAAGAAGCAAAACCTAGTCGAAAAAGAAGTTCAGAGTTTTTTGTAGGATTTCTCCATTCATACAATGTGTGTTGTTTCAGGGAGGATATCACCCATTCGACAGCGAAGCTATCTCTAGCATCTTCACTTTGAAGATTATCGTTTGTGCCCTGACAGTACTTGCAATGAGCACTTCATCTGGCATGTCGTTCCTCCCGAAATTTTATCTGAGACCAATTTTTATTCTCGAATACAGTATTCTGGCTATAGTTTGGACAACATTTGCGGCTCTTCTAATTTTTTCAAAGACGACCAGAAGGTGAGCATAGTTTTGTATTTTAGTATCGGTCTTTCGAGAATTTTATTCGCTCTAGCTGCTATGTTCGCTTTATCTATAGCTGAAGTACAGTCTTTGTCGTTTTCCGTGATCCATACTCTCTTGACTGAGCGGAACATGGTGTAGCCTACTTCTTCGCATGCGGCCACGGTACGGCATTGCTGAAATTGGGATCGCAGCGATACACAAATCATTAACATGCCTAGTGAGTGCGTGAAATGTCTTTTCGGGAAGATCAGCTCAAGTTTTTGTTTCTACTATAAGCACGACAAAAGTACTGCGGGAAATAGCAGGATCCTTGCAAAGAAGTTAGTATTTATCAGCCTGTAACTGCCGCAACCCCTTTGGCCAGGCATCGTTAGGATCAGAACGTAAATAGCAGATCCTGCATCAGTAAGAGAGGTGGATCGCTGTAGTACCGTTAAAATCTTGTATCTCTTTGTATTTTCAGCTGGACTCGTTCAAAAAGGGCTATCCCAGGGCTTCATTTGTTTGCATCAACCAGTGTTTATTTTGATTACTGTCAATAGATGGCTTCTATTCGGTTTCTACGATCCAAGAACTTACATTCTTCTCACTATTTCCTTAATCCATTTATTCATCGGATCGACCCTTAGCTTTGTGGAATGGAGACGTTATAAGTGAGTATTATCTTGTTTTCACTGTGAAAGTAATCCTTTTGATTGCGTCTCTGCACTGCAGATTTTATTCATCGAGTGCGAATGCGTGGACGCCTCAGCATAGTAGGAATTCCATCAGACTGTGAGAAACCGGTTTAAGCTGCTGTCCATTGGTTAGTTCAACAAGTCGCTAGAAAGTGTGGTCATATAGTAGTCAATCAACAGTAGCGTAGGATGTCCAAATGCGAATTTTGCCTTAATCATGGCTAGCTGGCTTGCAAACTCACTATTGTTCTAGGTCGCCTAGTTATGGTTTCTTAAACTACTTCATCATTCGATAATCCTAGTTTTACCTCCCATGATTGCATTATATGATATTAAGAGCCTTCATAACGGCAGAATCCTTCGGATAATTGGCAGGCTACACCGCCTCTGCTGCTGAAAATCAGCCAGGATGTCTTGTCGCGGATCTTTTGTCTGCTTGGACCCATAGTACTCTATCCAGAGCGGCCAACCATCTCTTCATCTATGTGTGTGCGTGTAGATCTGGGTCTATGCCAAAGCGAAACAGCGAGTATACCGCAATTTGTGCCAAGTACACCAACACGAAACTCTGAAATAAATGAAGAATAAGCCATTGAAATAATTAAAGTGTAATGCTTGTACAAGCCAGTAACTCCATTGTAAAACCAGCGAATTGATCCCAGAGGGATGATCGGGTACCTATCCCACATTTGGGAAGAGAAATGGGCGCTATCGCAATATACGGGGGGTCAGTCTCGTTTTCCAACGAAAAGCACATGTTGCACACGGCCTTGAATGCATAGTGCATAGCCACCATGATGCCCCCGTGTCTTGCGATAGAGCTGAGAAATGTTCCCAGAAGAAGTACAGGAGAACCCTGCGGTGAGCCATCGCGACGCCACAACTCGTACCTCCTGACCCATCCGTATAAGAATGTGAGCTTCTCGCTTGGTAGGATATTGACAGCTGACTTTGCTTACCTGTATAAAAATGGTTACAAGGTATCCGAGTAGAAACAAAATGTTCAATCTGAGTGGAGTTAAGGCAACATAGGCGATGGCGTGAGATGCAAAAACAAACACGATTTGATACGGCACGGAAGTCATCAGTATTAAAAACGCAGCTCTACTCTCATGATCTGAAATACGTAATCATAACTTGCGATAATTTCTTGAATGCAAGGATCGTATTGCGTTTCTTGCTTTGGCCTTAAAGGCACAACCCAGGCAGAGGTCGTGTGAACGCTTCCCTTCGGTCTGTAGTATAGACCCTAGAGGACAATCACAAATGTGGCGTTCCCGTGCACGGAAACCAACCGACAAGAGCGCTTGGGCCTTGCAAAGTAAGCTGCTGAAGCTGCAGATTTTTTTCTCTTATCAGGCTGTTGTCTGGCTCTCTCGCCTCATACTCTCCTCTCCGCGCTTAGTCTCTCATTCCCTTAGCACAGCCGATTAGGAAGGTGAGTGAGCCCTTAACCTAAGCGTTTTCGACGGATTCTTTTCCTTTTTTCTTTACTGCCGGCCCATTTCGCACCAATACATTCGCATTCGTGTGCAAGAGCCACACCAATGTGATCCTGGGGCATGCCTTAAGCACAACTATAAGTACACATTAAACTATAAAGGCAGTAATCACATGGCTGGAGGGCGGCGCGGTTTTCAACGTCATTGGTGGAGTGGACCTCTTGACCCCTAGGGGCGTGATTGGGACCGCCTTCTAAGGTCTTTCAAGCTAATCGCGTTCAAAAACGTCATCAGAACCGGAACACCCTCCTGTCTTCGTGATCACGGCCTTTAAAGGGGAGAGGGAAACAAACATCGGACAATAATAACCCTTGTTCGTCATACGCCACCCACCCCACTCGCATCCAGAAACTCTAGTGATTTCTGGATGTGATTTGGCCTTCATATTGGCATGGTCTTCGAAAGGGCAGTCGATGTGCAATTCAGCGTTTCTGCCCTTGTGGACAAGCCTGGTACCAACTGACCTATTTCCGAGGGATGGAAGGCTCAGTTGACTTGAACATTCCAGGATTTGCCCGCTTGAGTGTGCGCATATGAAACGCCGCCACGTGCCACTGACCACCCCGGGGTCACTTTCACATCTGTATTTTTCACTTTCGAGCTAATGATCACATTTTTTGATACTGGGATGTACATCTTACGCTACAGGCACCACACAAGGTAGCTTCGGGAATCTTATCCCTCATAGATTTCTGTTGGCAGGAAAGAAGTGTAGTTGGTTGGGTCATGGTGCGGCGTTGCGCAGGTTCGCGGTGCGATGGCGCAAACCCGTAAATTCTTCACAAATGTGTCGCGCGCGGCTACCAGTGAATTTGCGCGACGCCGCACCGTGACCTAACAGCACATGCTCAGTACCCACCAATACCTCTGATTTTATTTTACAGATATGAGCCGTCATCATTATCGTGAACGTTGCCTTTTGATTGGATTTTTAATAAGGGAATTTCTCATGGATATTTTCTTTGCACCGTGAAATCGGCATGCGCTAAGCATCAAAGCGGTCCCCTCGATTGTGCATCACACAAAAATTCGTACCATTGCTGGTGTAGTAAGTCCAGGGATTCAAGCGCATTTGTAGTCGATTGGGTCCTGTATATGTGTTCAAGTACGACGAAATCCTCGCTGATTGCACACTGGCACGATTTCCAGAAGTTGCTAAAGCATATTCATTATTTATTTCTCTATCCAGGAACATCTGCAGTGCGACCAAAATGTCAATAACAAATTCCAATTTTTTTCAAGCAAAAATCCGGATCAAACCTACAAAAGCTACAGTTGATATCCGAAAGTTGGGGTAGGCGTGTGACTGGAAATGATCTGCACTTGATAGAAGTTGCTTGTATAAGCGTTGCCAGCACAGGGTCAACCCTATGTTGCTACAAGTAGCAACGGGGGGGGGTATTTTGATGAGTTTGTAGAGGGGGGTCGTACTTGCTTCGGTTGTAAGAAGTTGCATGTGATGAGTGGGGAGCGGCGCGGGAGAAAATTTGCCGTTTCAGCGCGCGTATATACCCCCCGCTCGACGGATTTTTGGAGGAAAAAGTGGGCGGGGTTTTGATGGAAGATGGAGATGGTGGAGGTAGGGAAAAGGGGGGTCGTATCAAATCCACCTTGGGGGAGGGGGGTCGTAAAAATTTTTCGAAAAGTAGCAACGATAGGACCGACCCTGGCCAGCATGCTCGGCTAATATTCCTGCAGTGTGTGTTGGAATCAGCTTATCCACATAGCTTCTATCAAGTGCACGTTTCTTCCGGTGACACGCCTACCCCAACTCTCGGATATCGAGTATACCTCGAAATAAATGTCATCGCTTTGAAGGCAAACTTCCGGGATCAGCCCGACCGCCCTGTAGGAGGGATCCCACGAGGGAAATTGTAAGGTCCGTACCCACCTAGATCACTCCAGTTTCGTCGTTGAAATTGCGCGGTTAAGGCGCTAATTGTTACGGCCGTGCAACCAGGGCCCCCGTTGCAACGCTTCCCACCCACCGCGAGAGATGGTGAGATCAGCGTGCAATGATGTAGTGATCAACCTGCTCTCTCAAAGCGACGTGCTCTCTCGCGTATTTTGTCTTCTTTGACCGCCCTTTCTCGCCATCGTACCACATTCGACCCTTACTGAAGGTTAAGGCCTTAGTTTGCAGCGTTCTCAAGATTTCTCTTGCTTTCCTTCCCACTTTCAGGTCGTTCCGCAGCTAAGCTATCACCACGAAGCGCTAGTAGCACCAGTTTAATCCCGGGGTTTGGCTTTAAAGCATTGTAGTTATCTAATCAACGATTCCTTTCAATCCTTTGCCTACCTCTTGGGTGCGAATACTAAAGGAAAGTTCTCATTAATGCGCACTCAAGTCGCTTAAAAGTGGAGCTCTAGCAGCGAAGGATTGGCTCTCATCGAGCGGGAGGAGCAGTCCGACTTGCATAATGCAACTGTTTGATTGCGGGGCATGAAATAGAAAATATGAGGAAAGATGTGAAACAGCCTTTCAAAGGAAGTTAGTGAACTTTTTTTGCCAACTTAACATTCATAGCAGTGTTACATTTACCAAGTACAACTTATAGTAAAGTGTCTCTGAATCAGGCGAAAGTTCGAATATTTTCAATGTTTACTGATATCATAGATCTCGTGCTAGACTTGAAGTGATGCCCTCTGCCCATGAAGCTCAGAGTTTCCATCGCCTTACAGTCAGACTCTCTGCCTAACAGTTTAAGAGAAATTTTTTTAGAAGGAAGGGACCAAAAATTACCGGCTACTAATGGTTGGTAAACGGTAAGTTCTGGAAATTTCATCGCACCATACGCTTGCACAAGTCCAGCTCCGCTAAAAGTATCTGATTGAATTAGAAAAGAAACATGCTAGAAAGGAAAAACAAAGAAAAAAAATGCATCGTATTTGTCTATTTGAAGTCATTCAAGTTGTGGTAAAGCACTGGTAAGGAAAAATTGAGGCAACCGCAAAAACGCCATATCACTCCACTCTCTCATAACGCCGCAGACGCTCAGTAGAATTCACAGCCGCTCCAGCCACTCATGCACAGGTAGGTTGGCCAGGACAAAGTACTGACTTGTATTCAGGCTCCCCACATCTTTCTGCGTGAATCGACAGCATGATACGAGGATCCTGTACAAGGGGTCTATTCCAGTTAAGGGGCATCATTCATTTCTCCAAAAAGCTAGGGTAACTCCGAGGCTCAGAGAGAGTGTAGCCTAGTCAGGATGGGGAGTGAGGGTAAGTCACTTGACTGCGGATAAAGCTGGATGTCGAGTTCCGCTGTTCGGCTAAGAAGGCGGCCATCAGATGCCCCTTCTAACTGGAATAGATCCAGCAAAAATCGGTCAATAAACATTAAAATATCACTACTACTCAGAGGCAATTCCGTGATTATGGAGATTTAAGCTATTGCGTCCAAAGTTGTGACAGTGGTTGTGGTGTTGAACTCACCAGCAATGAAAGAAAACAAAAAATGCTAAGAATTTTTGAAATTAGGAGCAGGGCGTGTGGGCGAGGCTTGAACCGCCCCTGCGCAAGTCCTATTGGTTGGTCTGATCTCCTCACCGTGTTCCACCGTATTTTACCTTATTAAGAACAAAAAATAGATGACCAATTGGAGGGGCAGACTATGCTCATACATGAGAGCGCAGTGTAAATCTAACCATAAGCGTTCTTAGCAGTATTTTTGGTGTCTTTGTATACCTTTATTTTCAGTCGCAAATATCCACACCTATTCCCTCGCGAAGTGCCTTTGAAAGCTAATGAGTTTTAAAAGTATCCTTCTATTTTATAAAGCGCTAACTTTGTGTGTCGGTTTGTATGTCTGTATGTGTGTGTGTATGTATGTATGTATGTATGTATGTATGTGTGTCCGTCCGCAAAATGAAGTGAGTGAGTGATAAGGCAGCTAACGGAATAAACAAGCCGCCAACAAATCTGGGTAGCTCGCAGGATTTGCGCTATCAATGTTTTGCACAAGCATGATTGTGATAACCCAGAACGGCTATATAAACACGCACTTAGCACACTTTCGGTCATTCCACAAGGTGATGCTGTGGTAGCCGGCGAGCAGAGGAGAACGAGGGGTGAGTAAGGAGAGGAGGGAGAAGGGAAAGCTTACGCAAGGTAGGGAGGTTCCGGCGCTTGCCGGGGGACCAATCTGGTGGATTTAATGAAGTGCTAAGGGTCAGTTTGGTCCGTCTGGATTGCGCCACGCATTTAACTAGACGTTATCGTTACATGTTACGGTGAATGAAATGGATTGGTATCAGCTAATTATACGTAGGGTTCGGGGCGAATAACCCGAGAACCGATTCCTGGGAGCCGTGTGAATGCGATGTTCTCAAGCCATTAGGCACTATTTGCCAAAAGGACGTAAAGGTTAAAGTATTGAACCATAAACGTTAACGTAGACTAACCTAGAGAGTATAGCAGCTAGCAAAAACGTAGGCCCTTGCTGACGTGCAGCTATCCAGGCCTCATCATCTCCATCTAAAATGAAAAGGTTAAATACTGTAAAATTGAGAAAAAAGAGAATACACTAGCACCAGTTCAGGTGCCTTCTAGAAAAAGCGATTAAATTTTCAT